ACTATTGCAGAAACATAAGCCACATGATAAGATTTTTAGTGTGCAGGAGTATAAACTATAATCAAAAATGAATGTTAGATTTTGAGTAGAAATAATTAACCCTATTTCAGTGAAATTTCGTATGATTTGCAAATTCTGTAACTGTAATAAAAATTACAACAACAATGCATGGTAAAGTTGACATGGTAAGAAGCTATGATTATCGGGGAGATAGGGTAATCAATGGAGGAAACCTTTTAGTTTGAGACTTCTAGCCAGGGTCACTAAATTGCTGAAATAGTTTGATTAAATTCAGCAATCATTTGAATAAGTGGCCAACTTACACCACAACTGATCTATTTGCATGGCTCTAGTTACAAATTATGTGGCCAGATTAGGTCTAGTTACACCCAGGGTGTCCCAGTTAGTCCACTTCAGGCATGGGAGTTTGACGCCATTTAAAAAAAACGGAAAGACAAATCATTCGTACAGATGACAGATTGCATGTGTTACCAAAGTTTTGACCCCAACAACTTTAAATGGCTACTGAATGTCTACAAAAGAAAATTGATTTTAAAGATAATTATTAAAACATGAAAAAATTACTTTACGACCCAGCATAAGGCAGAACACAAGCATTGTTAAAAAGAAAATATATTAAAAATTAAAGTAATAAAACACACTGGAAGAATGCTTAGAAAAAAGAGAAGACACTTGTAACAAACCTTATTTCAGCAGTTAACATCCATTATGAATCCATCAGTAATACATTGTCAAAATATATTAGTGTAGAAAGAAAGGTGTTTTCAATTTTATGTTTGTTGAGTCAGAGCAATAATGTAATGAAACATTTTACCAGGATTATGAATAAGCCATTAGTTCAGGGGTTAAATTCTACTTAACCAAAGTCTTATCTCACATAAAAGTTAAGAGAGGAGTTAAACAGATAAAAACAGCTATGACTATAGCTTACTTCATCAAGCAAGGAATTAAACTAAACTGGAAATTAAAAAAGACATGTCAAAAACATACACAATTTTTGTGCATTTTTCTGTTAAATTTGGAGCCCGTGAATACTAACTATTGTAACTCAATTTTTTTTTTATATTTAAAAAAAGGAGCAAAATGATCAATAAATTGATCGTGGGCCCTTAAGATATAGAAGAAGAAGAAAGAATTAAAAATTCATAATTGTGACTTTTCCCCTGAAACTATTTTACCCCATGCAGATATCACTTTAATAGTGTTTTAACTTTAAGCAATGCAGAGATGATATACAGGTTGAATTTTTCTACATAAGAAAAAGGAAATAATTTTTGAGAGTGTGTAATTACAAGAACAAAAATTAGTGGCACAAACATTTATGCACATGTAATATAAATTAATGGGATTCCTTTAGAAAACAAAATAAAATTCTGAAGAAGGTAAACAAAACATGGAAATTCTATTTTTAATATAATACAGAAATGTGTTTTACTGAACGAAAATAAAAGTTATAACAAATAAAAATGTTAAATTTACAAAGCAATTAAATATGTGCCAGTGACCAGTCAACAGTATAATTTTCAAAATTAGCTAATTTTCATGCACTTTTAGGTTTACAAATTTTTGTAAAAAGGGAAATAATTTTATTGTACCAATTGTGATTAAACGTCGGGGGAAATAGTTCATATCGGTACCAGATATTTACTTCATTGCCCGCAACACACAAAAGCCAAAAACCATAAAGCGCTATCTCCAAGTATACAATTTTAAGATATATATATATATGTATTTATAAAACATATCTAGATGTTATAAGGCAACCATATGGGCTTGCACGACAGTATTTTAGATTCTCAACATAGAGCTACATTGACTTCATTGAGATCTTCAAACACATAAGTTTTTGATGTCTATTTATCAGTTTTTTCTTATATTGTATTGTCTGCTGTAGAAGGCGTCTGGCCAAAATGTCCTTTTTATTGTCCTGTCTATTTATTTCACCCTAAACATATCTTGTTCCACAATTTCCTTAAAAAGCTTGAACGCATTCTCTTATATATGAAAGTAAAGCAAACTATAATGAAATGTCTTATATGGGCCATTGTGCATATTTATTGGAGACTAATTTAGTTACAAAAAATTATTTTAAATAAAGAAATATAACCTTTTTTACCTTTGTCAAGCGGCGAGTGAAGAAGGCTCATAGACCAGACCAGAACAACCATTTTGAAAAGCTCTATTTTAAAGGAATATGCATGGCGTTGGTTAGGTACTTATATTTTTTTCACACAGCAGATGTGAACCAAAAGATTTGTATTTTTATTTTATTCCTAAAATTCAAAAAGATGTTTTAAGGATGATAAATGTTCAATTATTTAATCAGATATTATTAATATAGCCAATCAGTTTGAATGGTAGACACAAAGTATTATTCCCTTCAGTCTGATCAATCTTGGCAGAACCTTTCAACAAGTACAATTTAAAAAATAATAAAATTTAAATATCAGGCTGAATTGTTAATGAACTGGTGAATTGTAATTACAATTTTTAATTAAAGAGGTGAAAAGACATACAAACGTTTCACGCCTATGAAATTAATGTTTGCATAATTATCAATTTCTAGAACTAATCCATTAATATTTTTTTAAATATTGAATTTTTGATGCAAAGTTTTTTTTTTATAATGATGAAAATTTCAAGTTCAACTGGTTCAGTTGTCTGACAAAACATTGAAATCTAAGAGTAAGAGTAAACATGGTGCAAATAACAGTTGCATAATGTGAACAATATATGGAAAAATTGCACAAAACACATTGCTGTGTGAAGAGGTCTGAGACATGAGTAACAATAAGAAAATTTTGAAATATATAATAATTTTTACCAGGATCTGTACTGCATTAGATTAAACAAATTATTGACAAAAATGTACAGAAATACAAGGATAACAAAAGTGTTGTAATTACTATAATTAATAAATTTGTAATTGATAAAAGGTAATTTGGTGTTAGTCTCTTAGGGATATAGGATTCATATTTAAGCAAAAGCGTGCACACAGTCAATCAAACATTCTAGTGCATTGCTTTAGAATAGTGCTTAAATACAATTCAACTACTAATTTTGACAACTGATTTGCTATGGATTATGATTTTTTTTTTCAAAGAAAATGAATTGTGCAATCAAGGGAAATGGAAAGCTACTGGCTGACCTTAAGTTTAAGCTGGGGATGTCAGAAAAGATTGTCAAGGTTCAATTTAATCAAACCTACTGGCACAATAAAACCAATAACCAATGGGGAAGGGCAAAGTATAAATAGAACAATATTACTTGTACATAAAATTTAAAAAATCAAGAGTTCATTTATTTATGAAGGCTATAACTTTTATCCCTATAATTCAAATATTTTGTGGTGAAGAATTTTAAATGTTACCTTTTATATAAAAAAATATATAATGAAAATTTGGATTTGTCTTGTTTTAGCTTTCAATTTTCATAACGAGTTAACTGAGACCAAAAACAAAATGGCACATAAAGCCTCATATCTTATTAACAAAAGTTTATATCTGAAGTAAAATGGAGAAAGTGGGTTGGGGGGGGGGGGTGTTTGCATGGTAGCAGACATGAAATTCTGCTTAATAAATTAATCTTTTTTAGAATACTTCCTGTTTTCTGCAGATATTACTTCTGCATGATATAAATCATTAAGACTATAGAAACAACTTACAGAAAAGTACCTTCAGTATTATGACACACCAATTCAATGGGGTAAAAAGAACCCAATATGAATCAAGCTATTACTGCTATTAGTTTTCACCATTTCCTAAGTACAATTACCACTATAATATGTTTTTATAAGTTTAGTGCAGACATAATTACTATCTTTTTAGATTCTATTAAGGTAAATGCATATATTTGTATAGAAGGCTTGGAACACATTGATAAAAGTTCATGTTCAATTGGAAGTAATTAATCCATCAATATATGCCAAAGACACATAATTGTCATACCCAGGCCAGTGAGACACAGAAACACATTTTAAAATGTATAAGTAAACACCGATTCTAACTGAGAAAATATTTAGTTCAAAATAAAAGTTTGTTTTAGTAGCCCTGATATTGAATGCATATACTTTATAAATATACATATTTTTTTTTTTTAAAGAAGAAAGCAAAAACAACTATAGTTCATTCCATAATACTTTTCTGTAGATGCAACTCAATAAAAAAAATAAAAAAATAAAATTAGAATAATAAAGGATAACTGACTGACTAGAAGTAAAACAATAACTCCCCCCAACTATGATAACATTGTGAAACATTAAATCATCAAAACACACAATTAGTTCATATGCATTGTCAAAACTATATGAGGCATCTTCCAGATCATGTTATTAGTCTTTAATAATTTTTAGCTGCAGAGAAAACACCCATTGAATTTCTAGTATTTGGCCTTAAAATATAATTTAAACTTCTGGAAGAAATTAAGACATTAAAATTTTAAAAATTCAAATGTACATTTGATAGTCTTTAGGACATAGTAACATAATAATATGCTGTTTTATAGTGTTGTTTAACAATCATGCAGTTAATATAGAGAGTTGGAAAAAATGATCATATCAAGGGCACTAATTTTCATCAATTTGGTATTTTTTCAAAAATAATCTCACTTCGTTGTAGAGCAGCATTTTCCAAAGCGAAGGTAGGGGTCACATCTTACTTCAAAATGTTTTAAAAATTGGCATCCGTAAAAAAACTCTATACATGCCTATTTCTATTTATTTATTAATTGAAAAAAAAGGGGGTGGGGGTGTCAATATATATTTTTTATAATTGGGGCACAACATTTTGTTTTTAATGGGTTGCAGTAAAATTAAGTTTGGAAACCACTGTTGTAAAGGTAACATCACGGCTAAAACATTCATCAACTAATTTTCTTTTACTAATTCAAACTGAAAAAAAAAAACATTTATCAAGAAACAAATAGTCCATATATGTGACCAATGAAATATTAAGAGGGTACCACACTTTGCAAATGTGTATATTCAAATATAAAGTACTAAACACTCTAATTCCTCTTGTTAACATCTTGCTTCCTTCCTCATTTGCATCTGCATGGATCTCATCAATTGTTTGTTTAGGTGGTGGAGGAGGTGATAGTTATTGGCCTCATTTCTCTATTCATTTGCCAAGACTGAATGTTAGCAAAAGTGAGTTAACAAAGCAAAAATAGAATATCTAGAGCTAGAGAAGCAGCAATGGAAGAATAATTTTTACCCTATGCATATCGCAAATATAACTTGCTAACATTCAAATCAGCTTTTTTAAATCAACGGAGGTAAAAAAAAAAAACAGTCATAATTGGATCCAATTTGAATAGGAAAAAATCAATAAGGACTGAAAAGGGAAAATAGTTGCTTTACTAGAAGCATGGCAACATTTAAAAACCTGATCATTGTTAAAAGAAATGTAATGTCAATTCCAATAAATTACCTGTTATCAATTAGAACTGAACTTTAACGGGCAAGCAAGTAACATACTAGACAAACAAACCTATATTTAGACCTTAACAGAACTGGCCATTTTATTTCAAAGTCTTGTGATCACATTCATGGCGCATATCTGTTTGGCAGGGATGTAAACATAAACTTTCCGTAAGGATTTTAAAAGAACTTTTATAGGAATCCTTTTATTTTAAACTTAGAAATTGCTCTCCTCTCACTGAAAGACTACACAAATTAATAGTTAATGTACCATTTATGCAACTTAAATAAAAGTAGTGATTTGAAAAAAGTGTCTCTTACAGCTGCACGTTCACTAATGCCATGCGGTTCAACTGACGTAAATGTGCACTTTTTTGCTAACTTATCTATAGCTGACATCAAGATAAATGGATGTGTTGTACTAGGGATACGTTGACTTAATCATTATTATGTGTGCATTCCCCACCCCATTCCAATGTAATGTTTAAAAAAGACAGGGCATTGAAACCAAAGCAGTGATTTAATGATATGCTTTTCAGTGGCTTATTTGGAACCATATTATTTATTTGTTAAATATATTCAGAGGAATGGAGAAAATTTTGGGGGGTTAAAATAGATGATAACAGTAAAAGATTATTACTAAGTTTTTCTATTTCCTGATGCCAGGCATGCATTTATTTTACAAACACATCATATTATTTTTTCATAAGTGTAACTCAGTTTTTCCCTAACTCTTTCACTACCAGACAATTAATTTCCAACACACAAACATCATTTCCACTCTGAAGAAGCAACACAATTCCTCTCCAGTTAGGCACTGCCGCAAGTAGTCTCACAATCAGCTCCTTCACACTCATCTGAAGAACAGTGCCAAAGGATGCAATTTCCAACACAATTGTAGCAAATCAGAAAGACAGCTGCTAGAAAAACCAGGCTGCAGATTGTGCAGGGCTTCCGGACCAAGAAGAAACTTGTCAGGTAGAGGACGATGAACATGGCATGGTTATAGATGAAAGCCGGGTTTAGTGGCTTAGGCATCAGTAGCACTGGTATCAGCCACTGAAGGCAATACATGGTAAAATACTTGATTGAAATGGCCACTTGAGTAATAAGCAAAACTTAAACTATCTACTCAGTATAAGTATCCCTGCTGTTCTTGAAAATCTTCTAAAATTTTCCTTAAGAAAGGGATGACATGTTCAAACAGGGCTAGACAGGTCAGTTGTACACATAATGCATTTTGGTCTCTTCCAGTGGATAAAGTATGAGTCTGGGAAAAAAAGAGAGATGATGATAATAGAATTAATCAAATTGCAAATAAAAGCTGGTTAGTAATATATAAAATCCAAAACAAAAATGTGATAATAATCAAATGTAATTATATGTATTGATTCAAGAACAAGCCCCAGGTTTTTAACTCCTGACCAATATACCTAAACAAAAAGAAAACTGGGAATAAGTGGAAAGAGTTACTCAAGACATGGTCAACAGAAAAAGCTGTGGAGCAAGAAATTCAGAAAAGAAGGTGAAGATGGACTATCATACCATAAAAAAAAATGATGCCAAGTACCAGTCTAACTAGGTAAGAACTTGATTTGGAATCCTCATGGATCAATAGGATGGAGAAGACCCAAAAACACCTGGTGTAGAAAGATATGCTTAGGATTTGGAAGAGTTGGAGAAGAATGCAAGAGGCCATAAGGTGTGAAAAGGATATTGTTAATGGTTTTTGCTCTAATACAAGTTAAAAACGCTAAGAAGGAGAAGAATCCCTCAAAAAAAAAAAAAAAACATTGTCTGCTCTTCACGAAAATTAAATTACACAAGAATGTGGTTTGGTTTGGCCTGCTAAGCAAGTACAGGTATTGGAGTACCTAATTGATAAAAGGCCATCCATAAATGATGTCACACTACTTTGACATTTTTTAGCCACCATCCTGCATTACATAATGTCACACAAATTTGTGATCCCTGCTCCTGCTCCCCCCCAAATATGTAAAAGTAATGTTATTTATGGATAACTTCTAAACAGTTTAAAATCAAATTTCTAAAAGAAGTAACTGGTTTGCTAAAAAGAAGAAGGCTAAGAAGGAGTATAATTGAGATCTCTGCTCAACATGGCATAAAATCTCTATTCTACTGTATACTATGCCATTCAATCCAAGTTTACAAACAATTATCATCATAGCTGTATAGATACATAGATGCATGTATCATACATAGATTATAGCTGCATGTTTGCTTTGTAGCCTTCACACTGCCACTTTTTAAATATATTGACAATGAGCGCCTAGGGGCCATCTTACTCTTACTTCACATTACTTGATGTTTCATTACTTTTGTTACTTTTTGAGTTTTGTCTCAGTCTCATCAATCATGAATCATGCTCTCCCTGAGTTTGATTCAACCATGATTACCATGGGCCATGGGTGTCCGCGAGTGCTATTATGTGATTTGCCATTAGTACACACCATCGAATTCGAATGCAGCGGATAGCTCAATGCACACGGCAAATACGCTAAGTGGATAGCTCAATGCACACGGCAAATACGCCAAGTCGGAAGAGTGAAGAAGGGAAGTCACAGAATCAGATTCAGTGTTAAGTTAATGTTTCTATTTTGTTACTACACCACGGTACAAAAACTGACAATAGACTATAGGCTATAGGCTATAGGCATAGGATAGTGTCAATAGGATCATAAGATTCATAATCATACTGTTTAAATTAAAACAATCTATCTTTTTAAATTGAACGGATTTATCTATTTAATTATTTTATGTACAATCATGTTAAAAAAAGAGAGAATAAAAAAATTTTGAGCAACAAACCAAGTATAGATAACTAATATGTTTGTTATGCTCCTGTCAACAAATCCAGAAACAGGTGATGACAGCAAAATTGTTTACTTCCTAAATTTCCGGAAATTCGAACGGTAACGATGCTGAAAAGTATATTGGGTAAATTTTATCCCGGACAATAACATTTCAAGTAAACATAACCAGAATCAATTTTTTTTAAATATTTGATTAACGCGTTTTAATAAATGATTATAATTTAAAATAAATTAAAATTTGCTTTTCGTTGTTAAAAGGGATTGGTATGTTAAATGAAAAACAATCAGTCAATTTTCTTACCTGTTTAGATATATGATCAATTTAAAACTTGATGGGCTTTACTACTTTAGACTTTAACTACGTTAGGTTTAAGTTTTCATCATTTGACGTGACTTATGAAATCGCAAATTATTTAAAAGAAGTGATAATTTGTAAAAATCCCACCCGAAACAGAAAACAATAATTGAATAATGTCATAGCTGACTAAGACTGAGACTGCATCAGAGGCGTAGCGAGGTGGGGGCAGGGGGGACAGATGTCCCCGGTCGCAAGCTAGTTAGGGGCGCCAAAATGTGCTTTGATATTATATTATTGGTAAAAATTATGGGTTTGAGAGTTGAAAAAAAGAAAAGGGGGCGCTTTAAGATGGATCTTGTCCCCAGGCGTGAGTCTTGTCCCCGGGCGCCAAACACCCTCGCTACGCCTCTGGACTGCATTCAAGCCATGACAGTCATGGGCCACGTGAAAGAGATATTCAGAATATATAGATTGAAGTTTAATATATATATATACATATATATATGTATATGTATATATATAAGATAACAATATAGACACTTACCCCTCGAACAAAATCATGCGAATGAATACATTAGAAAGAGAAACTTAGCTCAACTTGCTTAACATGAAATAGCTGCTAATAGGAATAGGCCTGAAAGGAAAACAAACCGATCTCCGGTTTAACTATAGACTAAAGGCTATATTTTGTAACAGTTAAGATTAACATTTTTTATTTTTCGGTATTTCAATGTTAATTCACAGGAAAAATTAGCATTACTACTATTCTATGTCTGTGCAGTTATATACGGTTTAATAAATACAAATCCTTCTGTAGACACAATGAATTCTTTGACAATTTCTGCATTAGTTCGCAATGAAGTCAGTTGTATCTTGTATCTACAACAACACGGTATTATACATACTGTCAGATGATGTGCTAACAATCACAAAGTTAACGGAATGCCAATACTCAGCGCATCGAACATACGTGGAAATTGGCAAACGAGAGAAACAAAAACACATACAGACATATGCTCGATTCTTATATACGTGGTTTCATTTTGCGTCGATGTTAAAGCAAATGGTTTGAATGTATTCAACGCCATTCTAGACCAGGGGTCGTGAACCTATGGCTCGCGAGCCAGATGTGGCTCTATTGATGGCTGCATCTGGCTCGCAGACAAATGTCGATTATAAAAAAAAAAAGTCGCATTAATGGTAAGAAATACTCATTATTGATTAGCAACAGCATAACAATGTTATTAAAAAGAAATAAGAGACATAATTATTGTATTTTTAGTGTTGAAATTACACAAAATTCACACATTTACTTGAATTTTTAGTTTTAAACATAATGTATGACTCTCACAGAATAACTTATATGCGATGTAGGCTTATATGCGAGTATATACGGTACTTCAATACTTACGATGAATAGCTATATATTTAATATACGTGACAATGTCGTATGCGTCTCTTTGTAAAGAACAACAACGACTTATTTGTATCTTGTTTAGAGACAATGAAATAATGAATCCATATCTGTAAAACAAAATGCAACATCTCGTGTTTTGGTAAATAGAGTGAATGTTTACGAAGTCCAATAACAATTCAAATGGTCGAGAAGATATGGGTGACTTCATGACATGTGACATGTGTTTCCATTTTTAAAGTGAATTAATTTATAGTATTGGATTTTGCCATTTTGGAAGTAAGATTTCTCTCAAGCTCAATGCATGTCTGAGCCGCAGTGGTAAATGGTCCACAATTTGAATTAGAAAGCTCTATGTCTGTTCCCATTTTTTTATTTATCACATTTTAAAAATTTTATTTTAGTTTTAGCTCATGATATTGATGATGAATGCCTAATTGAAATTGAATGTCTCACCACATCTGCCTGAGCTATTTATTTTATATTTTCAAATCACTACCCTTAATAATACTTAAATAGTCTTATGACTTAAAATAAATAGTAGCATAAACAGTGTATTATCAGTTAGTGATAGTCACTAGTAATAGTAATAGTCATCTGATAGTTTAACAATGTTGTCTTGTAGTTTTCAATTTGAATGTTAAAAATTCAATTATGTGTGTAAGTGTAAAAGTGTAAGTAAATAAATGTGTTGACAATGGCTAGGATGGTCTTCATGCTGGGCATGGCAGTATCTTTTTCTTGGCATAACTAATATTAATAATATTACTAATCATATTCATATAGGCCTATGACTATATTAATATAAAAGTGAAAGTTTGTGGGTGGCTTTGTTCCACAAAGGCTTTTACATGGATTGATGGATCTTGACCAAACTTGGCACTTATACTTATATCCAAATCCATCTTTATCCGGAAGGAACTCTTAAGACTTATGGCTTATGGGGTTATGAACTTTTTATAACATTCCGTTCGGGGCCGGAGGCCCAAAATGTCACTTTTTCTTATACGTATATGACTAATAATAATAATACTAATATGAACTATAAATAAACTATATAAATAAAATGATCAACGAATACTCCTACATGAATAGATGGATCTTGACCAAACTTAATATACATTCGCTTGATTATCCATATTCAAATACTGAAGGGTACAGTAAACTGGAACCCATTGGTTTCGCAATCCCATCGGGATCACACCAGGAAACGGGACTTCACCGGGATTGGGGTCCTAATGCAATCCCGCGCCGCGCCGGTTTTATCAGCGAGTAAATGATATATATGACAAGGTCATAGCCTATACATTTTTAACTTGTGTAAAGTAAAGTTATCATTTCATTACTAAATTTAATTTAGTTATTAATTCTTCATTATTGATTCATATTATTGGTGTTCTGTTAAATAATTATTGGATGAGGAGAAATGCATTACTTTCAAATGAGTGATGAATTTTTTCACTCTCTGAAGTAGAAGAATAAGCTGGAAAAAAAAAAAATGATTGGAATCAGTAACTGTTAAAGTCTTAAGTCTAAAGCCAAAATATAAATGAAAGGTTTTAAGATAAAATAAAATTATTTTATTGATCAAAATAAATTGAAAATTTTAATTACAATGTACATATTCAGCACATAAAATTATAAATAAAGACATATTTTAACCGAGACATTTTAAAATTATTGCACTTTAAACACAAGACATCTAAACTTTAGTCTAAGGTATTCCTCTGGCGTAGGAATCAACTATCACTGAATTCCCTTAGCCTTAGTGACAATAATGACTTAATTTGTGGTCATTAGATTTGGTTTTCATCAGATATGTTTTATCATATAATACAAATATAATTATTTTTCCTTATTGCTTTTCCCCCCGCATATTCAATTCAATAAACCATGACAATTTCAATCATTAATTTTAAATATCTGTGCCTAACTTGTACAATATTAAAAAAATATAAAAAGTAATTAATATTTTATGCATAAAATATAGACATCTTAATATTCCCCAAATTTATATTTTTATTTCACATTAAGTCAGTCAGTTGTTTCAGCACTTGTTCATTCATGATCTTGATATTTCCCTTCTTTTTTTTAACTATATCAACAGATAGCAGTTTCACGTCTGATTTTAAGGATTAATTTAATTTCAAGTTTCTTCCTATACCAAGAATTTTTTCAAGATGGGTAAAAATAAAAAGAAAGGTAATCTCATAACTTGTTTTTGTAAATTTAATTTTCACCTATAATAATATGTTTTGTTTGATAAAACAAAGACATTAAAATAAAGAACTGAATCCTTTTTAAGAACCATCGCATGGAAAATTACTATATTTTATTTTTATGCCAAGTTAACTACATTGATGCTGCACTGGCATTACTGATTGCACATTCTTCTCTGACAGTTGCTCATAACTTCTCTAAAGAGGAGCTGATGGTGTTGTCGGTAACTGAAATTGTCAATGAACTGATCATTGCAGATAGAGAAAAAAGAGATGTTGATTTGAACAAGTAAGAATTTTTTATGCTAAATGAAATATAGAAACACTTAATAATTCAACAGCATAAAAATGATAGTTTAGCAAGTTGAATATTAAATATTTATATAGTTTGATTAAAAATCATTTTTTTTTAATATCAGTATTTGTTACTAATCAAATGATTAGTATGACATGCTGCTATTTTTATCAATTCAGCTTGAAGACACGAGAATAAATTAAGAAAACTTAATATATTTGAGGAAATAAACGGGGAAAACAACATAAATGATCAGTGGGATTTCAGCAAACCAACAATAGAGTAGGCTAGTACGACAATGAATGCAGAGAGACTGTGGAAGAAAGAAACAAAGCACGAATGATCATGTTACAAAGGGAAACCAGAAAGACAACACAAGCATACAAGGAAGCCAGAAGGAAAGCAACAAAAATGTGTAGGAAGAAAAAGAGGGAATGGGAAAAGGATAAACTAAAGGAAATAGAAGATTTATCAAGAGAGGGAAATATAAGAGGAATGTACATGAAGATAAAAGATGAAAAGAATGGATACCAAGCCAGACCGCAAATGTGTGAGAGCCACAATGGAGAATTAATCACGGAAAATAGTAAAGTATTGGAGAGGTGGGCTGAATATTTTGAGGACATACTGAATGCAGACAATAGACAAGAAGAAGATTATCAACTCCCACAGGGAGGACCAGACCCGTTTATACAATGCCCAACCCTAGAAGAAACCAAAGAGGTAATTAATTACATGAAAAATCACAAAGCCCCCGGACAAGACCTTATCACAGCAGAACTGATTAAATATGGAGGAAAAGAACTACACAATCAGATACATAAACTTATAAGTAAAATTTGGCAAGAGGAGAAAATCCCGACAGA